AGCTTAGTTACTCTGGATCAATGGAAGATGTTTGGTTAGTGTGGGAGTGATGTCCTTGCAGGCAGCACAGCAGGGGACAAGCTGGTGTGAGGGAACACAGAAACATTGGGCTCCTTGTTAAATCAGCTGATGGGAAACACATTTAAATTACCTTTAGATTCTGCCTAAAACAGTGTTTCAGAGTTCACTATTCATGGTGTATATAGAAAAGCATTTGGAAAAAACAGGCTCACAAGTAGTGTTTTGTAGACTGTGGAAACACCTAGAGCTGAACCTGAGCTTCAAGCATTCTGCTACAGTCAGCTGGTGCTTCCTGTGCTGCTCTTGCCACCTGTCAGTGCAGCTACTGAACAGGTCTCTGTCCTCTCTGACAAGGAAATTGGCACATTTCCTGGTTTTTGAAAATCCCAGCAAACAAGGTACGTTTCACTTCCAAAAACTTCACTGGGGTTTTGGGTGTTGTGTGTGTGTACTTGGAATGCATCAGATCCTGGGTGAGTTTACTATAATGGAAGCTACTATTAATCTGCTGCAGTTGGAATGCTAACAAATGCTAACAAATGCTTTCTGGATTTGCAGACAGTATGCACACCAAATTATATCTCACTTTATGCAGCAATAAAGCACTCTGCTCTTTCTAAACTCACTTGGCTTGTTTTAACACATTGCCTAAAATGGTGTTTTCAGTGGGCAGTTTATGCTGTTTTTAGGGGAGACTTGAGGGGATTTCAGTTTTTCCTGTATTGGATGATATGCACATGTTTGGGCTATAAACTCTGTGATGCTGCTGCCTGCTTTATCCTAGTTGTCCATTTTTGGTTGGCACAGCAACTTGTAAGAACCATTTTTAAACAACTGTTCCAGAGTCCTTTAATAGCAATGTACTGGAGATGAAGGAGCTCTGCCTGGGGGTGGCTCACTCCATCTGGAAATAGGAGACTTGGTTGTAGATCCTGTGTCCTCAAACACTAGTGTGTATTTACAGTCAGGTTAGACTCTTCACTCTTCTACCACTTGTTTTCTGCAGCTCTGTAATTGGACATAATAGGCAGCAAGAGGTTCTATAATGGAAAGTTACAAGCAGTTGGTGTCTGAAAATAGCTCTCCATTCTTAATTACAAGTAACTTCCTTGCTGCATGTAACTTGAAAAACTGGTGGGTGGATGAAGAGCTGCTCCTTGTCTTGCAGACAGGCAACTGAGAGAAGAGGAAGGGGAGAGAACAGTCTGTGTGCTGCATCTTTGGTTCTGTTACAGTGTCACAATTGTCATGACAACTAATACTATTTTTCTCTCCGTAGTCTTGAAGCTGTATTTGACTATAAGGTCATGATTATCCTCCAGCTGATAAATGCTTAGGATGAATCCATTATATTGTGTTCCCCTCTATGGATATGGGTTTATCTCAAGGAAGAGACTTGCAAACATGTAGTTATTCCAAATCTCCTTCCTTCAGGGTGATCAGGACTGCACAGCCAGAGAGCATCCCAAGCAGTGCTGCATCCACATGGATGGTCACACTTCCAGCATGTGGGGCTAACCTCAGGCCATGGAGCTATTTTTGGTGATGAGGAAGTAGCAAATGACCAAATGCTTGGCACACTTCAGATCTGAATGAGGCACATTCTGTTGGGAATGTTTCCTTTCTCAGAGTGAGCACCAAATACAGATGAGTACCATTTCTTTTGGAGATACCCTCAAGGATATTTGCCACAGGAAATTTCATGTATGGGTTACTTCTAACAGCTCAATCTTGCTATCTTTTCCTCAGCAGTACTAGCAGTTATAAAGAAAGAATTAGTAACTTTAGATTTCTTAGTAACCTGTAACTTTATGGCCAAGTAAAAGTAGTGCAAGTGCAATGAAAATTCATTGTCTTGATGCAGTAGCCTAAAGTTGACTTCTGAATTCTGCAAGTCCAGTTGCCTGTTCCAAAGTCTGCCCTGGTACAGTCCTGGAGATGTGTGTAAGTACACTAGGTACTGGAGCCTATTTTTCATTTGTCACCTGCAGTTTGCCTGGTCCTTCTTAATTCTCTTGAACAAACCTTTTGTACATAGACTTGGTGACTAAATAATTGTAACAGGGAATGTGACATATCCAGTCTTAACAAGTATCAGAGCAGTGATTCATCAGTGCTGAGGAACAGGCAGTGGATGTGTGAGACTTCAGGAGGACGAGCCTTACTGTACAGCTTACTCTTGTGCCTTGTTGGATCTGTACTTCTAACACACTCCTTGGCAGAGGGATGACTGTAAGAGATGAGTTGGTCCATACACTCTTACTTCCTGGTGGGCTGTTAAATCCCTGTGGTTTGGGTCTTTAGCAACAGCATATGCCATTAAAGCTCCAAGCATGAAATGTTTCAGCAGGGCAAGAACTGAGTTACGTGTTCCAAGTGGGTATTTAAGTTTCTGCTGTATTATGTGTTCCCATAAATGGCCAGTCTGGACAAAGTAGGTTACTTGTGGAGCCTGAAGCAAGCAGTGCTGCTTTCCTGGTATCTTTAGAACTGAACTTCCCAGTGCTTTGGGCAGAAATAACCCAAACCAGACTGCTGGAACCACCTCCTGCTCAAATCTCCAGGTCAGCAGTTTTTACCCTGCCAGTTTGCCTTGCAGTGCATTTCACATTTCAGTGCTACACTGAAGTTATAATTGACCATTTCAAGGCAGTTAGAAAAGCTGATTTTAATTTTAGGGAAGGGGATCCAAGCCCTACCCCTGCAGGAAGGCAGGCTGCCTTCACACCTTCATTTTGGCTCCTTGATAGGTGTTCTCTGGGTTTAAACTCTTGCCCTTAGATGTTGTTTTAGCCTGGACCAGGCAGATACTTATTCCAACCCCTAGTCCTTTACTTAGAACAGAACCTCTGCTAAAAGGAAATTTAACAGCATCTTGTTCTGGACCAGATCTAGTCCTCACTTAAATAATCATCTCAGATCCAGCCTAAGCCCTTCTGGAGCTTAGTGTTCATCAAGTGATTTGCCTCAGACACCTCTATCTACTTAGAAAAAAGAAACCCAATGTGGTCTTCAACATCCAATTCAAGTTTAATGATGCTGTGCTGTCCCACTGCATTTGTAATTGTCTGTTTGGTCAGTGTTGCCATGGGTAGCCACTTCCTTGTTTCTGAAAGATTTCTTCCCCTGCCCCACGTCACTGGTTGACAGAGCAACAAGTAAATACTTCTCAGTGGCAAAGTTCATTGAGGTTTCTATTTGGCCTATCAGGTGAGGAGCAAATTAGTGAAACATGATGATGGCTAATGCACTACTGTATAATTAAGCATTCTTAAGTAACAACCTTCAAATTAGTCAGTTAACTTGTTAAGTGCAATGTTGCCTCATTGGTTATCCCAGTTGGAAAAATAGCTGTCGTGGGGCATTTGCAGTAGTTTCTCTGATGAAGTGAAGAGTCTTTCTGGGCTGGAAGTCTACTCTGATGCTCACTGGGCCTTGTTGACCAGAGGCAGCAAACTCCAGGTCAGGCCCTGCTGGCTTTGTGTCTCAAACACTAAGGGAAATCTTAGAGTATTAAAATAGTTTGTTTAGTATTTACCTGATTTCCTCCTCCTAATTCTGAGTGGCTGCCCCTGAAATGGATGGATGGATGGATGGATGTGTGGCCACACAGGATGGTTTTCCATCTCCATTTAGCAGTTTGTCAGCAGCATTTTAGGTACAGAATGAAGATGAAATGAAGATACTCCAGCAGCTCCCTGCTGCCACACACAGCGAGCACAGATCAGCCCCTGTGCTGGTGACAAGTTCCTGA